CATTAATTTATAAACTAATAAAGATAATTATGTACGTGGGTTCGCGCCAAATCTCATTTTTTAGGCTCGACCCAAACCCATATAGCTTGTAGAAACGAGCTTCAAGTCGACCCAGCTTGAACTTTTTTCAGTCGAGTCATGAATCGCCCGAGCCATCATGCTTGTTTGTCACTGTTGTCCACTCTCATTTTCTAGAAAAATGGAGAGCTGTTTTCTCTCTGAAAGAAATGGAAAATGCCGAAGTGATAGAAGAATCTAGTCAGATTCTTTGACAAAAGGTAATGTGGTGAAATGTACTTGGATAGAAAAATCGATTATGTTTTAAACAACAGATTCTTTGACAAAAGGTAATGTGGTGGGATGTGATTGGTTCAGAAAACTGATTATATTTTAAACAGAGCAATGATAAAATGTCTTATAATATTATGTCAATCATTATATCAAGAATTATATTATTATAGTATGATTCAAAAAATTTATGGTTTTTCCCAAGGTAGAGATTATTTCGTCCTTGACCCAGTCTCCTTTGAAAGCTTGAGCAAGTCAATAATTGTACCAATTGACACACGTCATTTTCTATCACAATTGCAGAACTAATTTCACAAAAAAGAAAAGGAATTACTTGGAAAATTAGATAATTATTTATTTTTAGCTTAATGTACCTTTAGTCAAAGCTGCAATATGCACGGTTCGGTTTCATTTTTTCAAAAATTAGTTCCAACCACATATTCTCTCGTAAAATAATTTTATACGCAAATTCAAAATTTTTATTTACTTTTTAATCACATATTTTTCAAAAAATCATTATTTCAAAAGACATTTTCTTCTAAAAATAAGGGTTTGCGGGGGTATAATTCCCTTGTCTATCTAATTCATCATTTATATGATATCGGTCATCTTTGGTATGCCTTTATTTGATTATAAATTGTGGTCTTACAAAGATAACATTAACTGATTAAACATCTTAACGAGAAAGTAAAAATGTGTAAAACTTGTTGGGCATACCTAATCTAAAGGTAAAATGTGAAATTTAATAATTAATAAATCATTATAAAATTAAGGTCCTGTTTGAGCTCCATTTTTACCTCATTAAAATGAAAAATATGATCGTTATCCATCACATCAAGTTCGCATTTTTGAATTTTTATCTCTTGTATGGGGCCTATAACAACTCTATTTTTCATTCTCATTCTACAAATAATGTGACTCAAACGGGCTCTAATTGAGTATATGGTTGGTATTGCGTGTGATGTGGAAAACATTAATTTGCACACATATATAAGACTGATATGATCTAAAATCCCAAATATATTATTTGAGTAGATTCCCCAACCCCAATTTAATATTATACTTACACAACCAATCATGTTCATACTTGTGTACATTACAATACATTAAAAATTGGTAGTGGGAATTGGAACCGATTAAGTGCAAATTTGGGTGCCTTGGGTGCTTGTAAGGATGTGATTACTTGAAAAGTAATTTATTTTAAAATTTTATATTTAAAATTAGAGAGAATTTATAATAGTATTTTAAATATGATTTTTTTTTTCAAAAAAATGTGTGACAGAAAATGAGTGTGAAAAAATAAATGAATTTCGAATCATAACCTTCGACAAGCTAAAAATCTCCAATGATAATATGGATTGTATCAAGAATGGTTCACATAACTTAAAGTGTCTACTAACGTCTTTCTAATGTAACATATTTAGAATCATGTTTAGCTAATGTTACAAGAAAAAGTATACATTATTAAGAGAATCGTCTAAATGCAGAGGTACTTCTAGACGTAGTGAGTTACATATTTCTTTATCATGTTTCTATTGGTTTCTTAATCGTGTTTATTATTGTTCTCCCTTCTAATAAATATCAATTATAAATGAAATTTTGAATTATAGACAAAAATTATTGGAGATGAAATTTAAACTATGATGTCTATTTATTAAATATTAATATCACGTAAATCGGAAGCCTTTCTAATTAGATGTGACCAAATGCCAAAAGAATTGAACAAGATTGAATCGCATGGAGAAAATTGTTTCTTCCATCTTTGATGATGTCATCAAAACGGAAGGAAAAATGGCTAAAACTTCCATTCTTTGGATAACTCTTGAAAAATCATACCTCTTAAAGACTTCAAATAACAAATGTTATTTTTGGAGAGAGACTATCTTTTAGTTTTTAGTTTGATCTTAGTTTTGACCTAGAGGATAAAAGTGAGAAGATCTCTAGTTATCAAAAACTAGTAGGTCTATAAAATGCAGTATGCGCAAAATATAAGGACATAAAAAAATGCTCTAGAATATCATAAGGATGATTTCACTTTGAAATTGTTCATAATTTCCCTTAGAATAGGGAATTAGAACTTAAAATTGAACAAAAGGAAATTCTAAATGTAAAAAAATTTAATGGGGGAGGAATAATTACAATAAAGATAAGAAATTCTATGACAAAGGAAAAGCAAAGAATAAAAATGGTAGAATGTGATTAATAGATCATTTAGTTAAAAATTGTTTTAAACGAATAACTGGCTTGAAAAATGATCCACGAAATGAGGGTGAATCTATTGTTTATAAAGAAGCGGGCGAAAAAATGAGAGTCACCAATTTGTCCACCATAAATTCATACGAGAGTGACTTTTTTTTTTATTTTTTATAATACGTTATTATCACGAAAATTTAATTTTTCAAAATCTAGTCAATATAATAATTTTCTTATAAGCATAATCACATATCATGTATATCGAAAATTAATTTAATAATACATGAATATAATTACTGCTAAGTGCACCCAATTCCATTAATCTGGCAGCACTCAATTCTGTAAAATATAGCCACACTCAAGGAGAAAATTTTTCCACTGTCGCAAAGCCATAGAGCATGATTATTTGTAATGATTACTTTTTACTAATGCACATGCCATGTGTATGAATCATGATCATTGTATGTATATCATATTTGTATCCACGTCTTACTTCTATATCGGCTGTTTTTTGTTTGATTTATTATTATTATTATTTTTTGGCAAAACATATAAGTTATGATGATTATTGAATATTCTTTGTGTTTTTATTTTGATTAGATATTTTTAGATATTCTCTTAAAAATTTAAAATTGATAATTTATCATTTTGTTGCTCATGTAGTAGTACAATATTGTAATTAATATTTCAGAAAATATTAATCATAGATCTAAAGAGTATTACCTGATTCTAAAGAGCATGATTTATAATTTTCAACATTTTAGAAGATTGTTGACATACTACTCTTAAAAAAGTAATAGTAAAATACAACGTGATCTCAAAATAGCATATGTTTCAAAGAATATATTATTTTAAATTAGTGTTTATCCCCGGAAGAAAAAAATATAATTCATGTTATTGACACTAATTACTTGATTAATTATTATGTGATTTTTTATTATATTATTTGAAATTAATTGTATTTTTTTATTTTTTATTTTTGCTTTATTGTGTAGTTAATCAAATGACAAACATTACAAAACTCGAGTTTACTGCACTTGACATATCTGACAAAAACTATTTGTCATAGGTCCTCGATGTTTATATTCATCTTCTCTCAAAGAATCTGCATGAAAAATAAAAGAAGGAAACAAAAAAATCCTACAAGATCATGCAGAGGCACTTATTTTCATTTGTCATCATTTCCATGACGAATTGAAATTTGAATGCCTAATTGTGAAGGACCCATAGATTCGTTTTGAAAAAAATTGACAAAAAAATTTGATCACTAGAGGACTATAGTCATCCTAAAGCCCACTATGAGTTGATGCACATTTGCTTCCAAAACTTTAAAACTGTTAGTAAGTATGATTCTGAATTGTTTATAATATGCTCAAAATTGATCTTGTGTAGCGAAAAAATCACTGATGAAGATATGTTGGAGAAAATATTTTTCACCTTTCATGTCTTGAATGTTGTCCTACAACAATAATATCGTGAGCATGGTTTCAAAAAACTTGCATTACACATTCAACTATGGAATCAGAGTTTGTAGTTTTGGCTGAAACAGGGAAAGAAGCAGAGTGGCTGAAGGACTTATTATATAAAATACCCTTAGACATAAAGGATATTTCCTCCATACCTATTTTGTGTGATAGTCAAGCTACTTTAGCTCGAGCATATAACGAAGTACATAATGAAAAGTCTAGACCTGTGAGTCCAAGACACGAATATGTAAAGAAATTAATCAAGCATGGAGTAATTTCTCTTATATTTATTAAGTCAAGTGAAAACTTAGCTGATCCATTTACCAAACCTCTCACAAGAAAGTTAGTGAAATCAATATCAAGTAAAATGGGTTTAAAACTTCTTAAATAGATTTACCAATGATGACAACCCTACCAAAATATACTAAACCAGTATATATAGGTTCAAAGGGTAATAAAAAGTTATTCGATAAATGGATGGATTTCAACACTATTAGATATATTGAAATTATATTTTTGAAACTAGTGTTGGTTGTTACTGTTGGAGGGATGAGTTAATTAAACTCTTAATGAAGTTCAGTATGGAAAATAAGTATCTGTAAAAGTAACAAAAATACTGGAAGAACTTCACCTATGTGAACTTCGAGGTGGTGCCACCTCATTAGAGAATTGAAGTTTTTTCTCTATAAAAGTTCAACGAAATAGGATTAGTGTAAGGCCATATTAGCACTAATCGAGTTAGAGGAACTTGTGAAAAGTTCAACACTTGTGTATGTGATTTCATCGGTATGGTCACAAAGAATAACTGGTTCAAAGCACTTTAGCTACTTGGAATTCTAATAATACTTTATGAGATTTACACTATGAATAGATTCAAATCGAAAAGATATCTAATTTTTATGCATAAGTGTTGATTATTTCATTATGTGATAGACACTGATTTTGAACAAGTGGGGAATTATTAGAATTATAGTTGTTCAAAATAATAATAATAATAATAATAAATATTTGTTGTGGGCTTAACCATGCGGCCGCATGAGGCCCTCCCGAGAATGGGAGGGCCACTTGCACTATAACCATGCGACCGCATGATTATAGCCCATGTGGTCGCATGGTTATACAAAGTAACCGTTAATGATTCATTTTTCACCGTTTTTCTTTTGAAATTTGGGTCTTTTCAACATAATTTTGCACCATTTTGTAGGAACTCTTCAAAGCCTATAAATAAGTGTTCCAATTGCAATAAAAAACATTCTTGAGAAAACATAAGAAATTCACCCCAAAATTATTTTCCCAAATTAACACATAATCAGTTATATATCTATTTTCACTTGTTCTTAGTGAAAGATACACTTTGCTTTTGGTGTTCTTCACACAAAGGCATGTTAAAATCCTACAAACTATTTGCTGGAACTCCTCAAAAGTATTGGGAAGGGGGCAAATAACGTTTGAGGATAGCGTTATCATTTTCGTGTTCAAGCCTCTAATCATATCTATATTCTTTGCCTCTTTGGTATTATCAATTTTCTTCTCTTCATTGCTTTAGATTTCCAACATCTCTAACCTTTCCTATAAATATGAGATTTTGGTTTTTAATAAAATATACACAAATCTATTGACTCTTATTTTCTCTCCTCTTTGTCTGTTTTCCTAACAAAATTAATAATTATTACAAAAAAATAAATAAAATATATGTTATGAATGTTAGAAATGTCAGTCCCTTTGTGGAATCTGATAAGTCAGATTCATGACATAACTATGCCATTTTAATGAAAAACGCCTTTTATCTTTTTAGCAAAGGAGGA